CGCAGACGAGCTTGCCAAGGCAGGCTATCTGCTCCCTAATATTCATTTCTCAGATATTGGTATCCCAGCAATCCCAACGGGCACGTTGACAATCAAACAACGATGATGAACATCAAATCAAATATTACTAAAAAATAATTTCCAATCAATAATGCATAATAAAAATCTCGAGCTCTTTCCATTTCAGTGTTTTTAGTCAATTATACTTTTATCAATACGATATTATGAGTACAAAATTTAATATAATTAACTCATTCATTTATGTAGCCCACACATCATCAATACTATTCGCATGGGATTTATCGAATCGATGAGATGACATGTCATTTCAAAGAGCGCTAGTACACAAAAATAGAAGTATTGGGCGTATGACGAATCTTCTGTTTAATTTAAAAAGTAAAAGTAAATTGTTTAAAGATACTCGTATATTTTTCAAATTTACTACTTATATTGAAAAAGGGGGCGCACGCATCAAAGATGCGATACTGATTATGTATGCCATTTCCAGCTAAACGCCTTAAGCTTGATTTAATGTTGTTTGATCGAATTTGTGATTTAGTGCAGGTGAGTAGGTGTGCGAAATAAAAATATTTTTCAAAAGGAAAAGTTTATCGTTTTTAAGATTTTTATTATAGAATAAATACAAATTTATTTTGTTCATTCGAATTTATAAAAAAAAAACTAAGTGTAAGTTATGCCAGTGTGAATAACACACAAAAATACAATACTATATTATGTATTAGCACATAAATACTAACTTTTAATAGATTTTTAAGAAAACAAACACAACTGAAATTATATTTTGTAGTAATTTTTTTAATAAAAAATAAAAGTAATATCCGTTGACTTTTTTTAAATATTCATAAGTGCAATAAGTAATAACTATAATGCACAACAGAATCTTATGATATATTTTAATGACTTATTTCTTCAAGTGGATTTCAGTACACATGCTGAACATTTAAAATATTTAAGATACTTATCCAATAGTAGCTGCCAACAAGACACATCACACCTCGCCTAGACAGTTCATAATTTTGTGATTTTACCTATCTACCAACTCCCATCAAGTCATTATTATGAGCACATTAAAATGCAGTAAAATTATTCTTAAATAAAGAACAGGAAACAAATGAACATTTATGTTTATATATAAATATATATATATAACATTATACATATATATATATATACATTTTAACAAGCAGTAAAGGCAAAATCCTAGCAAATTCAAAATCAAAATTTAAGCTACTCTGCGCCAGCACATAAAAAATAAAATCTGTAAAAATGCAGTGACATGTGCATAAGAAGATACACCTATTTATATGCATTACCTACAAATATATGTGATATATATGTATGTGTATATAAATATAGTGCTCTTATGTTTATATATTGGCTGTTGTGTGACAAATTGTGATACTTCGTTTAATTTGAGAGCATCTTTTAAATTTGGGCAACTTTTCAAATCACGTCGAATTCGTTTTCAGTGCATGAAAAATGTACTTTTCTATTTAAAATATTTAATTATTATTATGTGATAATTAACAGCTAAAAATAATAATAAAATTAATTCAAATAAATAATACATTTTGTGTAGTAAAAATTGGTTTAATTAGTTTATCTATTCACATATAAAAAACCTTTAGATTTTTGTTTGTTAAAAGGTTTTTTTATTATTGTGACATAACTTAAATTTTATCAAGGGGACTGATATCCAATTTATTTAAACGAAAATTTTTTGAAGTTCTAGTCTAAAAGAATATGATATTCAAAAAAGGATATTTTCCAAAAACTAAACTTAAAAAAGAAGTTTTAATTAATAAAAAGGATTAAGCGAAATAAAATAAAAGCTTAAAAATAATTTTTATTTTTGTATTTATTGTTATTGGTATTCAATATACTCTATCGCCGACATTTCGAACTTTGTTTGACTTCTTCCTCAGGATGGAGTTGTGATAGCCCTCTAACCTGAAGAAGAATTACTCAAGAAAGAAGTCAAACAAACTGCGAATCATCAGCGACAGTTATATTGAATACTGAATACTACATAACAATAAATACAAAAATAAAATTGACGTTTAATAAAATTCGATTAATTTTATAAAGCAGTATATTTTTCAAACCTTACCATCAGGCGTGAAAAACATTATTCAAATTAACTCATCGGGACAACTTACAGTCCTGAATTCTTGATTCATAGCTAAAAATAAGTTGGCAACAACTTGAGGATATTTAGTTTCAATGCGCCAAAAGTATGAGAATTATCTGCAAAACAAAACCTGGCATGGTCTTGGTGGCGAATTCACATCTAAAAAATGACTAAAAATCTAAAAAATATGAGATAATTAGGGTGGCGATTACAAAATAGCGATCAGAATTGATATATTATCATATCTTTATTATTTTCAAATAAAATACGGTACTATTACACCTTCAGACCAAATGCTGTAGGACATGAATATTTTTTTGGATCTAATGATTTCCACTTCCCTTTGTGGATGCAATGACTTGCAGATTTCCACTTCCGTAGATGCTAGATATGACAATGTACTTAAAATTGTAAACTTTTATTATATATTCGAAAATACCGTTGTAGGGAATTTGATTTGAGCTAACTTTTCTTTTCATTTACACAGTGTTTCTAGATCATGTTTGTTACGTACTATATCATCCCTATAAGCGGAGACTTGAATGTTATTATACTGAAACATTTTTTTCAGTATTAGATCTTTTTACGACGTCATATACCATAGTATTATATTTTAAACAAGTGTTGATGTGGCATGTTCTTGCGTTACCAGAAGGGAAATTACAAATCTTATTAGTGATATTAATCAATTATGCATTAAATATATGTACTACTATAGTCCTTCTATTAATTTAGGAGAAAATTATGCTTGAGCCCTCCAAACCTTTCTTCTTAGTTAAGGGCCAGACCTGGAGATTATTCCAAAAGGGTAAGTCAGTTCTACTTGTATGGAAACTTTGTTTTTTTTTGTAACTTTGTCATTTAAATAATACCCATTAATCCACTAGCTTTTTCAGAACACCATTTTTTATGAGAGTAGCCTTTTTCTTTACAAAGTTGATTTTATAAAAAGTCTGCTAGAAATCAATAAATAACTGATGAATATTTGTTTAAATTCATTGACTTCAAAAATTATGCAAAGAGTTAAGCACTTGTCAGTGTCCGATTTGTTTGACTATATATCATGATGGTAAACACCAAGGATTTCTTATTCGCATTTGTTTATAATAGCAATATTTTTCGACAGATTCATGCTATTCTGCAGTAATATAGTCGAACACAATTCTACAACAACAACAATTTTAATATTATTACTATTAAGAAATATTAAATATAAATAAATACAATATATTGTTATAATTGTTGGGAAAATCGTGGAATCTAAATGGCAGATAACTCAAAAGGAATTACAATGCGTATATATAGGTTAGAATATAGTTAGATAAAGGAAGTGTAAAAAGGTGGAGATTGTTTCGGAACAAGCATGGCTTAAGGATTGGCAAGATCCGCTGAGCTCACAGTAGTTTACCACTTCGAGAGACACTCACTCGATGTACAAACTATAAATAGAAAACTTAGTGAACTGAACAAAAGTTGAGGCATCTGTCCGTGAAATATTAGCAAATATATTTTGTGACACACTTAGTGACGATAATTAAATCAATTTATGAAACGTTTTATGTGTTAATGTACCAAAACTTTTTTCTACAAAACAATAATAATTTGAAAAATTTACCAAAAGAATATAAAAAATATTAATTATATTAGTGTTTAAGAACAATAACTACATGTTAAATAAGCAATAAATTACAGTACATTTCTTAAATTCACCATAAAATGCATGAAATTATAATTATTTGCTTATTATTTAATAATACATGAACATACTACGTTTCAACAGAGATATATATTTATATTTCTACCAATTGCATTGATTAAAACTTAATTATATTATTTTAAAGAATATTACGATTTAGAAAATGAATATCTTGAAAGTGTTCAGATAAAATTTCATTCATGAATAAAACACATATGTACCTGATCACTCACAATATATTAAATAAAAAATATTTAACTTAGTTATTAATACACTTTTTAAGAAGAAAATATTAATAAATAATAAAAATAGAATAAAATAATAATGATGGATATTCACAGATTACACCTGTAGTTTTTACTTGAAAATATCTCGATTTTAAAACGAATACCTGTCCGTTTCTATATATTTTGCTAAACATTGTGTATCCTGCTTTATTCAGCAAATAACTTCTCTAGCATCATCTCTAATATGTAACATAAAGTCACCCGCAAGTGACGTATGCACTGGACTCCTAAATATACCATAATAATTATTTCATAAATTTGTCGTTGCTTTCAATGCTGATATTTATTTTGAATTCTTACAATTATGCGCACTAAGCATAAATATACATGCTACTGTTGCACAGAGCATATACGTATAAAGAATATAAATAAAATTGCTAATTAAGCAATTTTAACAAACAGCACAAAATTGAAGTAACGCTTAGTTTTAAGAAATGTGATTTAGTTTTAAGTTGTAGTCTAAAATAAAGATTCAAATATAACAGACGTGTGTTATTCGTTATTCGCAAGTATTGATACAAATTTATTATTTTAAATTATTAATTTTTTATTTTCACTAGTTTTGATCATTTAAAATTTAATTAAAAACGTTTCGCCTATTTTATTAAATAATTGTGAATACAATAAAATGCATTTCTAAACTATATTTCTTATATATAAAAATATATCACAATATGGATATAACACTGGCATTTATACTAGTATCTACTTTAACAATCTGTTGCGTATCTAATTTTTGTCAAGTGACTGGAAGATGATTTGTATTAATTATTTTTGGTATTTTCAAAAAAATCGCATATTATTTATCTAAAAGCTTATTAAATATTATTTTTTCGTAAATGATATATCTAATGTTTGTATTTAATTCACTATCACAATATTTTCTTTAACATAAGCAAAATTCTAAATAAATTAAACTTGTAAATAACCATTGCTAACAATGCGATAATTGTAGTCATTGAGTTTAACATATTGTACCAGTAATCTCTGTACAACTCCACTGCGGCATACAGAATGTAAGTAATATACAACATGAGGAGTTAAAACAGTAATTATTATATATGCTACATATGCCACACGATTGGTGTGACCAAACGGACACAGCCAATAGCCACGGCGCACGGCATCACGTGTATGGTGCGTGATAAAGGCACAGAGTAAAGAACCAAGTATTAAACTTGTTTTAAAATAATTTAAACTTGCTGTACAAAGATAAAATATTAAAATAATTAATATTATACTCGAACAATGCAAAAAAGGACGTCGTGTAAGATTCGTTGCATCCTAAATAAAATAAAATTTAAATAATTTTTTTTAATTATTAAATATACACTATACCTCTAAGTGCAGTGAACGTGCTTCAATAAAATGATCCATGTCAATTAAGGATGATACCGCAAAACATATAAATATCAACAGCCATCCAAATAAGTTTGTGCTCCGATCATAGAATTGAACTGCATATGCAATTCCCGTTAATGCTCCAATAAGTGCATGTGTAGCATTATCAGATAGCGCTTTTAACAGCGGATGAGCAGTCAATTCCACGAAATTATCACCTAGCAAGCAGGTGATTGTCACCAAAGTGGTTAAAATTATCCGTATATAGACCATTAGATGGCAGTGCATTTATGAGTATATTATGAGTATATTATATTAAGAACAACTGATATATTATAAATAACCTGACACTAATGGACGGTAGTGATTGAAAGAAAAATGTATCCAAACTTCTGATCCAAATTTTAAATTACGAGTAAAAATTGTTCATATACATTAGCTAATTATGCACGCTCATTGTGTAATTAGTTCATAATTTAATCGGAGTTGATGAAGGCACCACTTTGTTATTTTTATATACCTGAAATTTGAAAATGTATAGTACATACATTTTATTTTAATATCAAATATTTAAATAATTACAGTTTTTTATTTTCGCTACTCTCACGGCTGTTAAGTAGTCCCGACTAAAAAGTCTGCATTGCAGAGATATCATCCTCATGTTAAGGGGGGTTGAGCGGTGCAAGTAATCGCAGCACAAGGTAGTTTGAGTTTGTTGATATTTTCAATATTACAAAAAAACATAGGGGTAATAGTATGGAGCACCTCATCTTTCTGATTCATAACAAACGTTAACTCAATTTTGACAATCATTGAAATTTTGTATTCCACAGTGTTGTAAAAGTGAAATAAAATAAAGAATATTTAGATTCATTTATATATATCAAATCTTATTATAGCGTCTCGTGTTGCTGTATATCATTTAGGCCGTGTGCGAGTTTGAGTAAATTAAGGTAAAGTAAATTGAAATTTCCTAAGGATTTTTTGCACTGCAGTTATGTAAATATTTATTTACTTATGTATTGCACTTAATCATTATATTTGGTTAAAGTTTTCAAATTTATTAATATATTTATTTGAAGTCTTATAAAATTTCCACAATGGTAAACCTAATTCACCTAATTTTTATCTCATTTAGCCTACTCGAAATTCTGGTAAATATCAACATTCGTTGCCATACCGACATAATTTACTATTTCTCTCAATTTATTCGAACTCACACACACAGCCTAAATGAAATTCAAAAAAAGTTACTATTTTTTTGCTTAATCAAATTTAATCAAATAATTAATTTCAATGATTAATGAATTAATCAAAATGATAAGCTTACACATCCATTTTGAAAAATTATAACACTTCCTCTAATTTTAATAAACTTTGACGTGAAAGAATCAAATGAATAATATATTATTTTTTGTTTCTTTTGTATAGTTAGTATTTAGTTAAAACATGTACCTTATAATGTAAAAAATTATAAATCAATTTTTTGAATCACGTTTTGCACTATTTAAGTTTTAATTAAGTATTGATTTTATGTAGAATATCTAGAGTAGTTTTTTGGTCTTTCAATAACTGACGTTAAAAAAAAATAATTTTTATTTGCTTTTGTCATAAGAGTAGGGTAAATTAGAGCTTCTAAATGATCTTAATTGTTTTAAATTTAATATTATTATTCTTAGAATTCTTTGTCTTTATGTAATTTCTTTATAAAATTAATTGTAACAACTGACGTTTACTATGACACAAGTGTTAGTGTAAACGTACTATTATATTATTGTACTGGCGTATAAGGGCTGCTTAAAATTATATTTACTTCTTGCCGCCAAGACTTGTAGTTCAGTTTTTAATTACCGATATATATTATATTTTACAGTTGGAAAAGGAATAGTTCAAATTTTTAGCAATCATGATGCAAAATGAGAGAATAAAATATATGCGAATGCCAACAGAATTAAAGAAATTACATGAAAATACTCATATACATGGTAAGATTGTTCATATACGTCAGTTTAACACCCATTCAAATTTTTCCTCTATTATATTCATATTAGGCATAACTTGCAGTGAAACTGACGATTCTCTCAACTTCTCGCATCTTATCGCTATAATACCAGGACCAAAAGGAACACCATATGAGGATGGCAAATTTAAAATAAACATACAAGTACTAGAAAGCTATCCTTTTAGACCACCGGCATTTACTTTCTTAACTCCAGTTTTTCATCCAAATGTTGATACTTGTAAGTCACTTTGAAATCAATTGAAAATAGCTTAGATAAAATCTTTGTTTTAATAGCTGGAAAAATATGCATGAGTTTGCTTCGTATACCACCTTCAGGAACCTATAATCCAGCGGTAACCTTGGAGGCGGTTTTGCTGTCAATTCAGCTCTTGTTAGCAACACCTAATGCAGATGATCCAATTCGAGTAGATGCCGCTGATTTATATAAATCAAATCGGCAGGAATATAATAGAACTGCTCGCGAACTCACGAAGAAACATTGCGCTCCAGTTGAGAAGTAGATGACAAAAGTAATTAATTAGCTAAGATGCATTTATTTTCAATATAATTTTCCATTAGGATATTCAAATATAATTTTTATTAATAAGTTTTTAAAATGTAAGCTTGTTAAAATTTCTATATTTGTTAAAAAAATAGCAAATTTTGTCTGAAAATGTCATCAACAGGAGAAAATTTAACAGCATTTTTAAAATATTTGGTGAACATTCATATCAAAAACTTGCGCTTTTAACTAAAAACTAAATAAATATAACGAAAATATATGTACCAAGTTAAATACTAATACAAAATGATATCTCTGTCACTTATAATTCATTAACATTTAATTCACGCTTAAAAATACATTAGAAATCTCAATTTGTTCAAGTTGACATGTTTGGATGCATATATAAAAATACAAATTCAGTATTCGAATAAAAACGTTGAAAACCTATAAATATATGTTTAACCAATATTAAATATTTATTTAACTTATGTGTCCTTATGCTTTTCGTAAAAGGCCTCAAGGTGTTTTTGATACTCCTGCGGTGCAGCCCACATCATTGCTGCCTGAGCGTTCAAAGGACTGTCTATATTTGGTTCACCCAGTAATGACTGTATCGAAAGCAGGATCGTACGCACATCATATAGCGCCGACCACTTATCTTTAAGTATATCTAAGCATATTGCTCCACTCAAATCAACGTTGGGATGAAAACATGGAGTTAAAAATTTTACCAGAGGAGGAGCATAAGGATAAGAATTTGGAAATTCTAGTGACAGGCGATACTTTTGTCCCATGTAAACCGTGTTAATAGGCCCCGTTATTGTACCAATCCACTTGAAAATATTTTCACCATCTGGGAACGCGGATATGCCCTTCTCAGTAGACATCATTAAATTCATCAGTTCTTTGTGTAATCTAAAATATATATAAAAGCCTTGTACAAATAAATAAATTTGTGAATTAAAACTCACCTTTTACTAACAGCGTGATTGTCTTTTATTGCAACTGAATCGTCATTGCGCTTCGACCCTGAGGAAGAATCCAGTATTCCAGCTTGCTCAGGACTAATATTTTGTGCCATATTTTTTTCTAAAAATTAACTTAAATAATTTTTATGCCTTGTTTAACAATCAAATGGTCAATTAAAATCAAAACTATTTGGCTTGGATTTGTCTTTACATACAAGCTTTGTTACTTTTTTGTTTAATAGTTTGACAGTTTATGACTTTAAAACAAAATGGAGGTTATAGTTTCTAATGTTGCCAGCAGTTTGAATAATTTTGAAAAAAACTCATATATATTATGCCGATTTCGGTTGGATAATCTATGTATATTAAACCCCACTTGTCTTCAACTAAGTTAAAGTTTTCGATTCGTAATCTATGTAAATGTAGCTAGTTTCGAATTTTGGTTTAACCGAAAAAATTTTATTGAATTTGAGATTTTTTATCTAATAATATATTTAACGAAAGTAAATTTAAAATTCAATGAATATTTTTGTCAATATAAAATATATAGAAATGAAAATTTTTACGATAATTTTTTTTAGACAATAATTTTAATAAAAATAACTAGATCGTTGTTATAAATATATATTTTCTAAGGAATGCAATTGTAGAAAATCTAAATTTGTTAACTTAAAACACTACGCAAGTAAAGATGGGATAGTTTTGTGAATTTTAGTTCTTTTATATTAGAATCAAAGCAAAAAATATATATAATTTATGTAAAAAAATTATTTTTAAATCCTATTTTGCTATGTTTTAAGTAAAAACATTTGTCTATTAAAATGTCAAAAAAAAAATTATTACAATGGAACACTAATCTGAACAACAACAATTTTGTTTTGGTTTGTATGATTTCCTACAAAATTTAATTTACGAATATGAATTATGTTCATAATTAATAAAAATTAAAAATATTAGTGGAGTTTATATTTGAGTCGTTGGATCTGTTTTTAAGCGTTTCAATAGTCTTTTATAAATTACAACACTAACCTGTAATCTGTAATGGATGACGCAGGCGGTCTGATTTACGGTTTAGAATTGCAAGTATGTAAAAATCCAAACAATTACTATTAAACATAGGATTTATCAAAAAAATTGATCCAGGCACGTGCGTTAACTCCACAGTATGGCGAAGGAAATGAAGTTAGATTTCTAATAGCAACGAACTCCTTAAAACCGACTAATCAAGTGCATTTACTTGAATACAATGAAGAAAGAGCAAACATTAAATCAAAAGTAAACAATGTATTATTCACAAACATTTAATTTAGTTAAAATTTTATTAATAGATATTTGAACATTCTCTGGGTGAGGTGTGGAAACTCAACAGTAGCCCACACGATTCAAGTTTACTTGCAACTTGTTACAATGCACAAAAAGGGGCACAAGTTCAAACCCTTGCAGCTTTATTAACTTTACCGACAGATCTAGAGGAACAAGATGTGAAAACTGAATTTCTTCAATGGGACAACGTAGAATTACTAAATACAGAGGTATGTTTAATATTAACTGTATTGTACGGCAGTTTTCTTTATTTAATTAATTTATAGAAATTTGGGGAAAGAGTTAAGACAGTTGAGTTTCATCCCAGCCAAAAGCAAACACTTGCATGTGTTGTAGATGGAAAAGTAGTAATATTTGATCGTACAGAATCTCAAACACGCGTTGTAGCTGAAGTTGCAGGTGCAAATGCTAAAAGTACTCCACCATATACAACTGGAAAGTGGTCCCAACATCATCAAGGAAACCAATTTATTACATTACAAGATTGCACTATGCGTTCATACGATGTACGAGACACACAACATTGCGCATGGTCCATTGAAGAGACTCATGCACAAATGGTACGTGATGTAGATTGCAATCCTAATAAACAGTGTCACATTGTAACTGGTGGCGATGATGGATGCATTAAAATTTGGGACTGTCGTTTGCCAAAGGAACCAGTTTTTACACGTAATGATCACTCACATTGGGTGTGGTCAGTGCGATTTAATACATTCCATGACCAGTTGATATTATCTAGTTCAAGTGATTGCAAAGTAATATTGACATGCGCTGGTTCTGTTAGCTCTGAGGCTGCGATCGTTTCTAATCCAGAACAAGAAATCTTCACTTCGCCGGATAATTTAGGAGACGAACGTAAAAAGCTATTATCGGATGGCTTACTGCAAAGTTTTGATCAACATGAAGATTCTGTTTATTGCGTAGAGTGGAGTAATGTTGATCCATGGGTGTTTGCATCGCTAAGTTATGATGGGCGTGCACTTATTTCAAGAGTACCAAAACAATATAAATATCAGATAATTTTTTAATTATTAATTTATTTAATTATTTCAATTCCAATAAACTTATACTATTATTTACATATTTATACAACTAAATATTACTTCTTTTTTTGTTTATTTAACTAACCAGTATCTTCTGATGTGCAGTCAGAAGAGTCATTGGGATTTGCAGTTTCTATAGAGCACACACGTTTTATCAGTTCATTTTCTATTGGCTTGCCATTGTCTATTGTTTCTTCCATTTGTACATATTCAACAGTAGTGTTTTTCTTTTCTTCAATAGGTTTCTTTTCAATAGAAACAACAGTTTCTATTGTAGGCGTCGGTGCTTCAATTAAAGTGGAAGCATTAGTTTTAATTTCTGTCTCATCCTCTGCTTCCTCCGCTAAACTGCTTCGTTGTGGTTGAGCTTCGGCATAAGCTGTTGGATACTGTTGGTTAAGCTTTTGCTTTATAATTCGAATTTTTCGAAATATATAGTCTAAATCTTTTTTCATGTCCGTTAATACTTTTACATGCTTTTTGAAATCATCATTAGCACCTTTTAAACGACTTTGAGATAGTGCATTGCAATTTAGCAACATTTCATTTGTTTTTTCAAAACGTTGTAGCCTGCAAATATTATATTTAATTTATTAATAATATAATTTTGAAACTTAAGTTACTTAACGCACATTTGCTTTTGCGCTCGTATAATTGTCTCAACATCACCTTGGTTGACTAAACCTAATAAAATTGATCAAATGTATATTTTTTTTTTAAAATATATTTTATTTACATTAATATTGTTTTCAAACCTGCAAATCCCTGCACAAATGTCTCCGCTGCAGTGTAGTTTGGAAAAGCGTCAACGCTAAAATCACTTTCAGGAGTTACATCCTGCACTGCTGGATCCATTTTTTTGCTAGGAGTGCTCATAAGCCTAGTGTGTCACACGGATGATATTTATTGATTTTATTTATATTTCTTTGTTATTCACATTGACAAATAAATAAAAATTATCAGCTGATTATTCTAATTGGATATTTTGCATTGTTGTATTTTATGTATTAAAAATTGATAATACTGAAAAGAGTATTTGACGTTTCATTCGAATATATTTTAATTTATAATTAAGTATTTCATTTTGCAGATTCGCTACAAAGCAATACAATAATGTGCTTAACATTTAATTTAAGGTTATCATAATTTTTTTTTAAACTGCTATATTGAATGAAGGAAGAATGCTCGATTTTTAAAAGCACTTAAAACAGAATCAAAGCTGTTTGTTATTTCCCTGTTTTATATAACCTTTTTGACTTGACACATTTAAGTGTTATATCTGTAAATATGGTGACAAGTTTTACCTTCACAATTTTTTTTAATATGTTTACACTGAAGCCAATAAATCCACAAATATATAATAAGCATCACATGCATATAAAACATAAATATATTATAAAGGGCTATTCTTTGAGCTAAATTAGAAGTTGGTGTACACATCAGTAAACGAAAATAAACTGTAAACTATTAAGCATAGTGTATATTTCTGTATATCATATATAACACTTAAATTATTCGTAGGAAATATATATGACTAAAGTATTGTTACAATATATTTTATTGTAACAATACATATCAGTTAATATGCTGATTTTACCTATGTAAATATGAAAAACAGGTAGATCAAAATAAATAATTGAACTGTTTTTAAAGAAAAATGTTGCCTCATGTCATTTTGTTACCTAAATAATGTCTGTCACAAATTAACTATTGATAAAAAAAAGCAAAATTTTTAGATTGACGAAATGCACAATTATCGCTAAGTAAAGTGCATCTTTTTTGTGTTAGGTAAAATCTCCAGCTTATTTCTATATGGAAAGGTCTATCATTTTCAGGAAATACTAGACAGGTTAAAAAAAAAAATCATTTGTCTCAATAATTACGAAAATAATAAAGTCTACAAAAAGACTTTATATCTGTACTTTTATAGTCCCTTTTATATTAGATTACTTTATTATTATTATTAATATATTATTATTAATACAAATTAACCATCCGCTATAATATTTTATGTATATTTAATACATATCTAAATATTAAATATGCATCAATAAATTAATATATATTAATATAATATACACTACTTTCGAATAAAGAATGCTAAAAAAGTTCACTATCTTTGTGAAAACATCGTTAAAAAGTTCACTATCTTTGGGAAAAAAACATAACGTGAACATTATAAATTTTACATGAAATGTCGGAAACAGTACACTATTTTAGTGTTTCGGATTTGTAGCTTTCATTTGTAGTATAGGAGTGTACTGTTTGTGATTGTGTTAAAGAACACAAACATTAAAAATTTTTTGATGTTTCGGATTTGAGCAGTACACTACGATACTGTATATAGAAATGTATAGAAATCTATATATAGAAATTATATAGAAATCTTAACCCTTTTTACCTAAAAGCGATATAATTTCGAATAATTGTGTAAACTAGCCTTAAAAAGTATTGAAATATATTTCAATATAAATATATTATTCACATGTATTAATTTAATTTATATACCTGTTATTTTCAAATTTTATTCTCATTGTATATAGCTTATATTTTAAAAAAATTTTTCACACTTGTTTTGTGTACAAATCATACATTTTTACATATGGTAAATTCAAAACAGGTATGTTATTTTATAAGCTGACGAAAATGAAATAAAAGGCAACGCTGTGTTCTAAATTTTGACATTAGAAGTTATCAAGTATTCCGACTAGGACAACATATTTATTGCCGAAGGTGGTATGTGTAATATCTACTGACAAATATTTATTGATTTATTTAAAAGTTATTTGTTGTGTGTTTGCAATCATTAACATTATTTTTTTCTAACAAATTAATAGTAGTAAACGTGCAATATAAACATTCAAAACACAGGATGAGTTCAAGAGTCTTGAAAAAATTGCAAGGAGGAGCTGGTGAATTGGAATTAGTAGATGACGGCATAGATGAAGACCAGGAACAAGTTTCAGATGACGATGACCAGGAATCAATTCGAGGCAAAGGAAAGCACTTAAATCCATTTGATTTAGTAAGTGTTTTAATATAGAAATAAATTTTCGTTTTTATTGAAAATATAAGCTGATTTTGTATGTAAACATAAAAATGTACCCATTGAAGACGAAAGAAAAAGGGAAGCGCGAAAATTTTATTAAAATAAGTACACATAAAAATTGCGCATGTGCCTATTGTCATAAAATTGGCATATATATAAATATATCAAAATTGTGAATGAATGTAGTCTAACGCATATATTCTTGCAACACTAGTTGAATCAACAAAGCTTCTCTGAGAGCGAAGTGAAGGAAGATGACAATGAAACTGAGCATGCCTCCGCTACAGCCAATGTTCCTGCCGGTCCTGCAGCATCTAAGAAAAAGAAGAAAAAACGCAAGAAGAAGACAAAATACACTGGAAATCATATAAGCAGTGAAGATAATGAGGTTAGTATATTAAACAAACTGCGTAACTACTTGCTTAAGTAGGCCATAAAATTAAACTTTAATTTTTAAAAATTACAATTTTCAGCTTACTGACAAGTATATTAGTGACATAGACTCTCTAATTGGTAAAGTAGCTGACACGTCTGCAAAAACACAAAAGACAATACCGCCACGTATAGAAATTTGCAAATCTTTACTAACGGTAGAATTGAAAAATTTGAATCCACAATATGAAATGCGACGCACCTTCGGTAAACGTGTCGTTAGAGTTGAGTAAGTAAAAAATTCTTTTTATTTATTTAATTTTTTTTCTAACAATACATTACAATACATTATAATTTATAATAGAAACAAACGTGGAAGAAGTAAACTCACATTAAAAACAACATATATGGTAACTGCAAAAGAAACCTGGCCTCCTGTTATGAAGAATATTATAAGCATGAAACCGGTACCGGCACCAGACTTTGACATCACTAGTAAAGATACAACAGTTCAGGGAGTGCAGTGGTTTGGCTTTGAACATAGTCAAAAATACCAAAGTGTGCAGAATCAATTTTTAGCTGCAGTTGAACGCACTGATTTTGACTTCTTAACTGCTTTAATACGTAGCTGTCCTTATCACATTGATTCAATTATACAATTAAGTGATATGTGTAAGTAATATTATATATTTTATTACGCAATGGAGTTTTTAGTATGCTTGTTATTGTAATTCGTCTTTAAAGGTAAAATGACTGAAGATTATAGCTCAGCCACAGAACTTATTGAACGTGGTGTGCTTGTTTTGGAAACATCACTTCATCCTAGTTTCAGTTTAACATCGGGAAATTGTCGTATGGATTACCGTCGCCAAGAAAATAGATGTTTCTTTATTGTGCTTTTCAGACATGCTCAATATTTGGAAGCTCGCGCTTGTTGTCGCACAGCATTTGAATTGTCTAAACTAATCCTAAGCTTAGATCCTGATACAGATCCTTTGGCGATAGTGCTTGTATTGGACTATTATGCCATACGTAGTAAGCAATATTCCTGGCTTATTAAGTACTATGAAGAGTACGATGCTGTGCGTAATTTATTACAACTGCCAAATATGGCTTATTCCTATGCGTTAGCATTATTCTGTCTTTTAGGAGGTATTTTTTATTATCTAAATTTATTATTCTTTGCACACTAATCAACATTATTAAACTTTAAATAGAATGTGAAAAATCTGATAAAGCTCTAAAATATGCATTGCTCATGTTTCCGGGTGTTCTACGTCCGTTACTAGAAGAAATGTCAGTACAAACTGATAAACGTGTGTTGAGTAACCCGTACTTTTGTTCAGAAATTTCTGGCTCGTGAGTATTTTTTATTAAATTTATAAACATATTATATTTTACATTATAACAATTTATTTCTTATATATAGTCAATCTCCAGCCTTACATCAACTGGTTTGCCTTTATGTTTGCCGTGCTAAAGTAATTTGGCGTCAACACGAAGTTTTGCCCTGGTTGGAACGTAATGTCAATAGCGTGCTTGATCGCATCGAGCGCAACGATGCAATTATCACTGATTACAATCAGATACGTGCTTTGCGTTATGGTAAACCACCGCGACCCATATTACGTCATGTATTGCTCTCTGATTTTAAAGAGAAAGTGCCATTGGCAAGTTTCTTGTCAAAAGAGCACACCACACTTGTATCGTATGATCCATTTCCACCACCAGATTCAATTAATTCTTATGAAAGGTAATTATTTCATATATACATAAATTATTGATATATGGTTATGAAAATAAAATACATATTTTTTTTGTAGAAAATCCTCTTCTAGCAGTCCAACAACTGCTACGAATCGTCCTTTATCTATGTTTTTCCAATCTTTACTACCAACATTCAATATGCCACATGGACACGTACGTGCTGCTGGAGCTAACAATGCTCAACCACAAGCACTACCACGAGCTCCTTTAGCTCAACATGAAGCCGACCCAGGTGATAGGCAACAACAATTTATAGGATTTGACGATGGTGAAGGTAATTTAGATATAGCTAAATGCTCTATATAAATTTACTCACTATATTTATCTAAACAGGTGGAGCAACTGGTACTGGTGAGGCTGGGACCTCATATCATGATCTTACGCAATCCCTACATAATATTGTGGATGCAATGCGCGACTTTCTACATAATTTCCGTTTAAATGAGAACTTGCCCGCCGGTGAGAATGATGATAATGACAGCTCTGAAGAAGACACTAGCGATTATTTTGATTAAAAATAATTTAATTTCGTAATTAAAATTTATGGTATAAAATGTAACATAAAATTGCTTATTAAAGCTACGTTTGTTTTATACACAAGTTTTTAATTAGATTTAAATCCTAGCAGTAGCATTAAACATTAAACATTTCGATTCTTGTTTATTATTTTCTAAATTTAACGCAAACAAAATAAATTTTAGCAAGCACAAGTTAAACTTTTGTGATTGGTTTTTTAAAGCACTTTTAAAATACTAAATAATTAATCCTTTAATATTGAAACACTTTGTATAATATATATAGATATAATATATATATATATATATGTCTAATTTTTTTTAATACCTGAATATTAATATCTTAAAATAATATGCAATATAATCTACTCGCTTAAAGTTTTTGTCAAACAAAATAAATGCTTTTAATTATACAATTTGAGTTGAGGTAAATTAATATATTGAATAAATTAATTAGTTTTTCTGAGGAAATGTGTACAACGTTGAATTGTAAATATATAAAAAATAGCTCATCTGTGGTGGAAACTAATACCAGGATTTGCGGTTGTTAATATTTTAGGGATCAGCTTCTTTTTCCGGGTTTTCTTGCGAACCCATTTTTGGTTGATAATTGCAATAATTCACTATTCATATAATTCAATCAATTTGAACACAACTGCTAGATCGCTTTATTCGCTTGACTTCGCTTGACTATATCGTAATAAATGTAAGTATCGTAATAAGTAATGTAAGTAGAACTAAAGACTTTACGGAGACTAATAATTTAGAATCGCTAACCCTTACTCATAACATGTTTCAGCGCAATATAATGAGTAGGAAAATGGGGAGTATTGTATTAGCTATAATTGTGGACAGCACTGAAGATTTCCAAGGTAATCAATAGAGTATTACATATTTTGCAAAATTGAAAGTAAATTATTCTGATATAAAGAAGAACTTTAGGTAAATGGGAGGAAGAATCAATGAGTATTATTGGCTTGATATAAATCATAAAGAAGTTGCTAATTGATTTTGTTTAACTTAATTTTCGATGCGTTAATTGAAGAATCAACCGTTCTGTTGTAAACCATATAGAGCAGGTGATCAAAAAGTAACGAAAAGTATGATATGGAGCACACACACTATTAGCAACAAGTCAACTCTTTATTTTTGTATTGGTTGCACTGTCAGTAACGAAATACGAACTATGAGGCAGCATTTACTTAGATTACTTAGATTGCATTTACAAGACATACATTTATAGTTTATTTGAAGATTTTTAAAACTGTAAAATTTTAATAGAATCAAGTCAAACGAAATATTTAAAATGTTATGACCTTTGTCGATGGTACTATGTACACAGGTTCATTAATGGGAAGTAGAAAAAATATTAAAGATGAATAAATGTCTTGGTATTCTAACACAATCAAACAGATTGTACTTGCTAATGGAAGTAGTACCATTGAAGATGAATTTTATAGACTCATGTAAGAGAGTTTTTACGAAAGTTTTAGATATCAAAGGAATGACATATTTAACTACAGTAAGTGACAAAAAATAATATCACTGCAACGTCACACCCACCTCAGTAGTGTCAGCAGGTATCTTTATAACTTTTTTCTATATCTCAAACTTAAAGAAACAACCTAATGACAAGAATGGATGAAATAATCTTGAAATCGCTCTGGAGTTTTAAGACTATACATAAAAAGGCGTTCCAACATTCTTTTTTAAACTGGAAACTATGTGCAAACAATCGATTAAAATTAAAGAGAGACTACTTTTAAGAGTATGCAATACAAATACATAGTTTTTAGTTGCCTTCGTTTTCTTCTGTCATCCTCATGTCTCAATGGAGCATAGGGCCTCATAATTGTCTTTGTATTGCAAGTTTTATATTAACAAGCAAACAAACGCAGGACAACATCGTTCAAGTTGCAATTTTGTTGTTTTTTTTTCAGTATATAATTTTTGCTTTTGTAGTGTTGATTCTTATTTTATATAGTCTTTATCTAAGCTCATTTATAGATACATTAATAGAAGATGCAATAGAAGATAGAATTAGCCGATTTCTATATAAGATATATTTTTATCAAAGACTTTTTTTACTCCTTGTTGTAGATAAGGATACATATAAGGATTAAATTCCTTTTTACGCATTTTATGTTCAATTCCTCATAGAAAAAATAAACCAAATTTTTATTTTATTTCATTTCATTGAGCTCAAAATTTATTATGCCGTTTTAAGTTACTTTTTTATATTTTATCATATAACAAACAAGTTTTATTACAAATTTTTATTGTTTAATTGATTTTCAGTTATTTTCAAATTTTAAGGAAGTTTCATTTGTTTTTATAAATTCTATTATTAACGATAAGATCAGCAGATTTAATCCGCAAGTTATCAAACTTTAAAATTTGCCACTATTTTAAACAGACTCTTTTCACTGATATTGTTTTCTTTTTAATCTCTCACTTCATTGCAATATTATTATTTAATTTTTATTATAATTACTAATCAAATCCGGAGATTAAAATGTTAGTTCTTGAAATCCTTGTAGAATAAAATAATCATTAATATAATTTTAAATTCAAAGTAGTTAAACTTGAAATCAATTGGCAAATATAGCTTAAATGACTAATACTAATAGAAGTTATACAATTTCTAGATATAAAAAGATTGCTTGAACGAAAAATTAAAGTTAGCAAATGAAATAAAATATATTTATGTAAAATTTAACAATCGCAAAAGATATTTGTTGTACTAGAAAATATATGATTATTACACACAATACACATAAAATATAAAATATTAATATAAAGGAAAAACTTAATAACTTAAATGCATTAATACAAGAGGAAAGACTTGATGAACGTTTATATATAAGCACGTTTGACGAAATACTTTGTGTAGAAGAGTTTCGATCAGTGTAGTAATTGCATGAAACTTATATAGACACAATTCCTTGACTATGGTTAAGCATTCGTTTTTGTTTTTCTATAGTAACTCTAATTCACACTTGATCGCACATATTTTATATATAGAATTTTTTTGTTTTTGTAAAAACCAGTTGAGGCAAATAAATAGAAATTGATTATGTCATGGTACCGAAGACCGGATTGTGACGGCAAATTCCAGGGCCATATTCCTCATACGCTGCTTTTGTATGACATACTTGATAGAATTCCGGCTATAATGAGAAAAAATATTATTATATTATTTATGTGTATATTGTTTAAAATAAATTGTGTCGTTAATGTTTATATATTTTTTTTATTTTAATTCCTTTATTTTATTTATTTATTTAATAGTTAGTATCTATTTTTAGAAATAATATCCTAACTAAAAGTCATTGTCACTTGGCTTACAGACCTGAAACTTATTAAATAGATATTGTATCACCTTCTACTGAATAAATAAAATTTAATTACTTTACAGAACGTTAACAACTCGAAGTGCAGTTTGAATTTTCTAGTTTACGGTACCAAAATGGGCTATAGATATTTTCGAGTGGAAGCGCTGACAATTGTAACAGCAAGCATCCTCTCCACCTAACATAACTTTGCATTTTTTTAAAAACAGACTCTTAATTTGTTTGGGACAGATTAGGACTAAAGATATTTAGCTGTTCGAGGGGTCTCATTTCATTTCCTTTGAAATCTGTTTTTACAATAATAAGCGTTTCGTTTGACAAAAGATCCCACTGCAAAAACAGATATTCATTTTTTTAATATCCTATATTGGATTAACTTCGTTCATCAACTCCGTCTTTCTTCTTTATTAATATTATTGTCGTGATTTCATACGCAGATTTCTATAACCTTCATTTTCTATAACCTTCATGTTAACCTTTGGTTAACAAAAAAATTCATGAATACATATTCCTAACAAAAGGTGACATACGTTGTGAGCAGCCATATTTATGTCCCAGAGCCACTCATCTACAAGTGATGACCAAATATCGCCTTCAACTAATATCTTATCGTGTCTCCTCATCAAGAAGGAAGCTATATTCAAACGTATACCTTCAATTGGTACCGGTGGAATTTCTTGGAGTTTTAATAGAGCGGTTATTGCCGCATTATTCCAATACGTGTGTTGAGTCTTAACGGCAGATATTGTTCACGTCCCGCACCAGAAAAATGCAGAAGTATTTTTTTGTGGCACCTGGTAATTACTATTGACATGAAAATCTGGAATACAACTTCAACATTTGTCAAGACGATGCAAATATGCTTTTTAGGTTTATTTCGCTCTCTATAATAGGTACATTAGGATGTGTTTAAGAATTTATTAAACTTATCATATATCGTGTTTATATATATAAAAATCGTTTTCCTTTTCCTTTGGGAAATGCTCTACAAACAATTATCCTTACTTTCTGTCACATAAGACACCTTGACATCCATCTATTCTATCTCACTCAGTATGCTGTTTTATATCACCTTTTTAAATCCTTTACTTAGAGTGCAATAATATCAGTCACTAGGGCAGAACCCCTAGCAGTACATAGATATAATATTAACAGCTTCTGAAGCTGTTAAAAAAACTCGCATGACATTTGTTTAATTGCATTATTAAGAAGTTTTTTGCAGACAACTATAAGATATGTGATATATTTACATTACGATATGTCAACTTTGAATTTTCTACAGATAATAAAATAAACTTAGTATAAAACGTAAACATATTAACAATAACAAATTTTCTAATACTACAATGTCTAATACGTCAGCATGCCAATCGAATATTGACTCATCTATCTCTGACAGCACAATACAGATCAGAACACCTTAATCATTTATACGATGGTAACACATATTAGTTTCGTAGTTCAGAATACAGATTCTTCTAAACTTATCTGTGCTATCACACCACTTCACGACATCAAATTTGTGCAAATATAGGAGAAAACTTTAAAACGTTTGTATCTACGACTCTAAAAAAATGTTGGGACAAATTTTAGAATCTAATAAGTTTTAGCCCAAACTATAATTTATATTATATTAGATAGATATTTTAAATTTACTGGAAATTTGCCATTAAAACTTCTATAGACTTCAAATCTGATTGTTCTGTTTCAATAGCTTTATTTTTATCAAAAAGAGAAGTTATTTTAATATATATTTTTGTTATCAACAAACTAAAACTATGATAGGCTATGAGTATTCCTAACACAAGTACATTGATTATTCAAAAATAAATAAATGAGAACTTCAAAATAATTAAACAAACTCACCGTTGAAGCTAACATGCTGCCACCGAACCACACAGCATATCTTTGCATGTGATGCGAAATAACTTGTACATCAATAGGTTTTGGCTAAAGAGTTATAAATTAAAAATTATACATTAAACTCTCATAAAATGCTTGACCAAAATAACTCACCTTAATTCTTCCTTCCGAAAGATTTTCACTTATCCGTAGACGTGTGTCTACTGATCTCTTTATATCTCTCTGCAAGCGACGTCCAAAATCTTTGAACATTGTAGAACCGCCACTCAAAACAATATTGTTGTATAAAGGACGCCTGACGTCGATTGGACAATTTTGTATAACATTATCAACAATTTCAGAAATTGGAATGGTAAAATCCGGGTTTGAAAATTCCGGATGGAAGAAAATTTCAGGTCCTGAAATAATGTTTACATTTATAGTGTTAAATAAATATAAAAAACTATAACAATATTAACTTTACCTAAAAATCGCTCATAGCCAACATCAACACTGAATGGTGATTTTGTAACTGCATTGATGCCAGTGTAATTCCGTATCCACTTGCCTGGCTCAGTATCGTATTTGGCGAACTCTTTGGCTATATCCGGACATATGTAGCAATGCTTCTCTTTGATTGCTTTGGCAGTTTCTAAGCTTTGCTCAGGCGGTATACCAACCTCACGCTCACGCAACAAACTTTGTATAAAAGATGTTATATTGCGTCCAGCAATTGGTATATGTTTTATGCAGGAGCCAATGACATACCCTTCAGCCTAAAAATTTATGTGAACAGAAATGCTTTATGTAGCTGTTGTAAGTCATGCATAATATTTAATAATAAAAAACAAGATAAGATAAGCTTCCAATTACTTTGAATGATAAAATACTATGAAAGAAGATAACGTTCAAGCATAACACAAAAATTGATTAAATTGTAAATTATAAATGATTGAATTAATAGAAAAAATTTTATTTTCTCTATAACTTACCACAGGTATAACGTGAGTAACACCATCACCACTGTCTATGACAATTCCTGTTAGTGTACGTTCCTCCACAGATCTGGATACCCAACTTGCAGCTAAAGCCAAAACAGCCTAATCCAATAAATAAAGTTAATTAAAGGTTTTTTTAGTCTATTTAATAGAATATACTGACTTGGACAGCAATGTATAGACCAGGAACATTGAAAGTTTCAAACATAATCTCTGCTGTGTATTCTCGATTCTCTGGCGTATTCAATGGAGGTTCAGTTAATAGAAAATGATGATCCTCAGGTTCTGCACGTAAATATTTAAATATACATTGCTCCAAAAATCTTTCCATTAAATCCCAATCTTCTACGAGGCCATGACGTACAGGGTACTATTACACATCCAAAAAAATAAATACATTACTTCATATAACTTATCTTTAAAACTGATTAGTCATCAACAAAATATTTTGTTAAGTTTATATCAATTACCTTCACAGCATAACCAGTGGCATCAAAAGCTTCATCACCAATAAAGAAATCCAAATCTTCTACACCTTTTGTGACTCTCCTTGTATTGGTATCGCCCACTCGCGCCGTTTCTTTGATGGCAATTGCTGAGGGCATAATAAATTGCGGTTCTTTATTTCCGGCAAAGCCCAACTTTGTGTAACTATTTCACGAACAATAAAATAATTAAATTATTTAGAAATATAATACAAAAAGTAGCAACATGAGATGCCGCATTATAGTACTAGTCGCGGCGACCTGATTTTATTGCACCTCTTCTACACTCACCCTGTGCCCACATCAATAACACATGCCGGTAATCTTCCTGCCATTGCTTATAGTATTTAATTTACTTAACGATAGAACGTATATTCCCTAATAAATTTAAACAACTTTTATAACAATTTTGATGCACAAATTAAAGTTTAACCACACCTCCCTGATGTGTCACAATTGACTATGAAACAGTGCAGAAAAAATAATCTGTAAAAAGTGATGCCAAAGCCAGTAGCTAAGTAGCTAAGATAAATCATTTATAAATTTTGACAGTTGTAGAGATAATCAGAGAGTGTTGCCAATATAGTGTAGCTTGATCGAAACTGTAGTAAGGTAGTAGAATAATTAAACCCACTGAATTTGTGGAAGATTTTATCTAGTTGTATAATGAAAAATGCTTAATGGCTGTAATCTCATCCCAGCAATCAAAGAAATAAAGAAAAGGTTAATAGGCGTAAATGGTTTTCACATCATCAAATTTTTTTGATATACGAAAAAACTCTGAAAGTGCAAGAAAAATTGTTTTTAAAATAAAACAAACAATCTATCTTAAATACTGATAGATTTCACAGCTTGGAAGCAATTAGTAATCACTATATAATATTTAAATATTAATATTTAATTAATATTAATATTTAAACAAAAGAAATTTATCGGTTTAAAGATCACTTTTCATTTATAATCAATGAAAGTCGTGTTTTATGCATTGGTTTAAATATCACTTTAACATGTAATAAGCTACACTCATTCGAAGAACAAATAAGGTAAATAAGGCATAAGGAAAGATTGTAACTATTGCTTATGTTTATTTATGGTATTTTGATTATTTTAAGAGTCTCACATCATTAAAAATTTGTAGTTTTGAGTCGAGAAATATATATAATTTTGTAATTTTCTTATATTGCTTAATATAATTACTGTGTAATTACTGGTGATATATTATCATTAAAAACTCATTTTTTGATTTTCTTGCATAATTTCACTTTCATATCTTTTATATTAAAAGCCGCTGATTTGTTATGATTGTCAATTGCACCGACTAGCGATATCGACAGAATACAATTTTTGTACATCGACTTATCCTTGTTTACTTACCCTAAACACGTTTGGAGTTAAACTGGATATTCTGTTCGTGAACTTTATCGCACTTTTACACCTACTCCCACTGTGTATCCTACAATTACTTTCGATTAGAACCTTTTCATAATATTGTTACTTGATTGCAACTCTGAATTAGTGTTGACAATTGGAATGGAATGTGTCATATTCATTCCAGTTAGTTCAATGCAGTTACAAAGAAACCAAAAAACAGAAAGAACGCAGAATATTATTTGTCATAAGATCAGTTTGAAAGGTTTAATTTAATTAAAAATATATAAAAATAGTCACATATTTGGGAATTTCGAATATCACTAAATTTATTTAACAAAATGTTGCGAAACATGTAGTGCTTTGCAATTGAAAAAAAAATTACATTTCGAAAGTATAAATTTTGGGAAAGTGGAAGTGGCAGACGAAATTTTATTTCAGAAACAATAAGAAATAATTTGCAGCTACATACGTAACATTCCATTTAAATAAAACATACTCACACAACTAAGTGTATTAAGTTCCTTTGAGCTACACCCATTAAATTTATTTACGTATAAAGTAGATATTTAAATTCATTCATCGTGTCTACTTACGAGAGTATGGATTTGCAACATATGGAGAATGGTATTGGAGCCAACAGTGGCGGACTCAGTGAAATTGATTTTCAACGTTTGGCGCAGACTATTGCCACTAGCATACAAAAAATATTGCAAAATGGTCAGTGAAGGTCATTACCATACGTAAGAATGTAATTTTAACCTACTTTCTAATTTGTTTGTAGTTTCAACTATGCAACGTATGGTCAATCAATTCAACACGCCTCAAGACTCACCGGACTTAAAAAAGCAATTGTAACTTTAAGAAATTTATTTACATTATTTCATATATGTTCTAATTAATCGCTTTGTATTTTAGACATCAGATTATGACGTATACCCATCAGTTGGTTTCGGACACTAACAATCAAATTAAGGAGGTGGACAAGTGTAAGGAACGTCATTTGAAAATACAAAGGGATCGCTTGGTTGATGAATTTACTTCAGCATTAACTGCTTTTCAGGTACGTTGAATCCATAAAAATAACCGATTTTAGTATTGTTATCAATAGCACTTTGTCTTAGTCATGAAACAATTTTTTTTCGCTATCACAATTTGTTTTACTTATCTGGATTGAAATGCTTTGTTTTATCTCGTAAAACAGTAGTAGACAGTTGTTTATTTTTCTTTTTTATTGTTTATATTATGCGCAAAACATTCTCATATTGATTGCAATAATATCACGATTTAAAGCTAAAAAATGTTTTTGTATGTGTAGTATAAAAATTTCTTACTGGTGATAGTAAAAGTAATCAATTACCATTAATATCTCAGGTTTTAATTTCAAACTTATTTTTATTCTAAGAATATAGATGTACCCACATTTTTTTAAAATAATAGTAATTTTATTTTTCATTACAAAAAATATTTTGTATTTAATGTACCAGTATTTTCACAAGTGGTAATAGTTTTGTTAGTATTCTAATAATATTCATTATTTGCTATAAGTATTTTAGCAATTTTTACATTCTATAAGAATTATATTAACAACTTCTTATGAACACAATTTTAATCATTTTAAATGTATAAAGTATCTATTCAAAACCCTCTTTCGAGTAAAAAGCAACTTGAAAATGAAATCAGAACATTTACTTTAAATCTAAAATAGTTTCTATTTATAATCAATAAAATAAAATACCAGTTTAAATTATAAACTAAATACATGTACTCGAATAATAAATAAGATGATAATATAGGTTTTGCAATGTATGACCTTATTTGTTGGTTGTATTCTGTGCCTTATATTAGTGCTCCTTTTCTTCCCAAAAGTTATCATCTAGCTTATTCTACTTATTGTTATTATTAGTTATTAGTTGTACTTCTGCTGATTATGAAAGCCGATTAACAGATTTTGCTAAATTAGGTCTTTATTTTGAGATATTTAATATATCATATTGAGATAGGTATTGTCTCTGTGTGATGGAGTGAGCGGCACTTGGTCGTATAGACGAGTTGCTCTAACAAGTAGATCCGGTCACTTCTAGAATTTAGTAGGTTCCAGTATTGATTAGTTGAGTTTTGATTACTATGGTTATTATTGTTGTAGACCGAAGATATCTTTATTTCAGAAGACAAGAAAGGAATTACAAAATATGAGTACATAAGATAGAACATGGATTAGGTTGGGGATTAATGAAAATTACAGGAATTGTTTGGATTCAGGGATGAGTTAGGGGTGAGTGAGATTTAATTTAAGGTTGTCTGGGGGAAAGCGACTTAATTTTGCGATTTTAATGTATCGGACACAAAGATCAATACACCTTAAATTGTTGTTGCATTCACATGACATAAGAACAGATGGTATACATTATGGGAATGTAGTTTGGAGTTGGGTTTTGGTAGTTTTGGTTACTTTAAATATTTGTTGTTATTTAATATATAATATTGAAATGGTTTAATGAAGAATTTTGATATTTGTTGCCGTCGAGTAGAAGAAGATATTCAAAATTTCGTTTTTTTTTTGTGGACGCCATTTAGTAAATTTTTTTATTTATAGCTCAATTAGTGTAGTTATATACCACTGCGTCACTGAAATGTTTTTTTGTCTTATTAACTCTATGTAGCATGTACTTAATTTAAAATTGAACTCAGTTCTCAATAGTCTGTTTTAAATTAAACTATTTGTTATGAATTGTCTTTAATTTAATTTCTATAGCTATTTAAATAACAGATTGCAAATTTTATATAATAATGACGAATTAACTGTTTTCTAAATGGAAAACTTTGAAGCAGTAAAAAATAACAATAATAAAATATTTAATTAAAGTTTGTTTTAGTTGGTCCATACAGATGTTTTGAATATAGATAAGTCTGTTATAATTGTTGGTTTTCAAGTACTAACCAAAGCACTTGTGAGGAGATAGTAAAAGTTATAAAAATAAGAATTGATATAGTCTGTATCCATTATCAGACGGGTTCATATATAGTAGTAGAGTTAAATTTGGGGTATGCGTAAATTTCTTCTTCAGTCGTTGTCATCCAACACATTTACTCTGTTTGTTCTTTGTTCACTTCAAGAATACTACTGGTTTCTTTAAAGCATCATATTAGGAGTTTGTCTTATTGGGCTAATCGACTTTGGACATTTTAGTTCTTTAGATTCTTTGAATATAGTTTAATAGCTCTCTTACTTTGTTTGTGAATATCTTTATTTCTTATAAATGATGGGGTGGTGTACAGAGAAATACAAATTTGCAAGCATCAGTATTTTTCGTGTTTTGTTTTATTAATGGTTTATGTTATGATTATAATTTTACTTAAGTTGGGGCTGATTTAGGCATTTGCTGTTTTGCGAAATTATTATAACTGAAGGGTTATTAAGAATTACAGTGCAATGGAAACGAAACTTAATAGAAATATTAAATATTTGCATTAATGCCAAAAATAGATTTTGTGTTGGAAATGTTGTCAATATATTTCTGGTACGAAGTAGAGGTCGTTGAACATCCTTACAGTTAAGGTAAGGTATTCTTCTTCAGCAGACCATAATTAAGGTTCCTGGTGGGATATTTAACGGTTCGCCGTAGACTGCATTATCATCTCAACAAAATGGGTCTGCCCGAAGAGATAGATTGTCGACTCTGCTTGGAAGTAAACGAGACTTCTGTGACTGCCTAGCCTTGATCTAGAACAGGAAGACTGGGTCGAGAACTACTTCCCTTTTGACATTAGGAGGTTCTCAACGGCCGACATTCTGGCTTTCATTCAGAAGGCGGAATGTCTTCTGTTCGGTTAGGGTCTGTTGCAGTTCAAAATATCAATCATGGCCGCAGTACTCCGCTGCGTTGGGAGGTAGTACCCCGTTTATTGCTATTCCTAAAGGTCAGTGAAACAGTCAGAAGAAATAGTTTTATAGATTGATAAATCTTTTATTAATCTGCGGCTGGTTTTTTTGTGAGAATCAAAAGTTATAAATGAGTTTCAGTTGTTTGTCGATGAGACAATGATACTAGGATCGGTTAATGCGCTAAGGCGTAAAGGTAGATGTGGGGCATAATATATGTTTGTACAATTAAAGTTTCTAATAACTATATAGGGTCTACTAATCATCAATAGAAATTCCATTTAGGTTTGCATAACTGAAAGCGTCACTCTGGGACCATATAATGAAAAATAAACTTATTGTTATATATGTGGTAACCAATGTGTAACCAATTGCTAAATTTAAATAGTATAGTATAAAGGATTGTTTAGCGAATAAGTAAAGGATACGCTTCATTTTCCTGCGTCTTAAAAGGGATAAATATTCGTGGGATCTACTTACAGCTTTGAGAGTTTCTTGTTTATATTACTTAAACAGGATATTGAATTTTTTTTAATACTTAATAATCAGTGGAGTATATCACTGAAAAGATTAAGGAACATTGCTTTAACTTCGAAACGCTTGAAGCTTTAGATGGCTTGAATGATGTTTGAAACATAACATGTTTATATGTGCATAATATTAATAATAAATAATAAATTAATAATCTTTTGCATAATTTAATTAAATCATTCAATTTTATGTATTTCTCTAGGCTCTGCAACGTAAAACTGTTGATATTGAAAAGAATGCTATACGACAAGCCCGTGCAAACAGTTACAATATAGCGAAACCACCTGGAAGCAACAATAGAAGTAATGGTTCAGGCAACAGCAACAATGGATCATTTTTCGAAGACAATTTTTTAAGTCGCAAGTCCAATCAACAACAACAAACCCAAATGCAGGAAGAAGTTGATTTGCAAGCATTGGAAGAGCAAGAACGTGCCATCCGTGAATTAGAAGTAAGTCCAAATATTATTTATGAATACATTTGCAAAAATGATTTGAAATTTTTCTGAGTAAACTTTACTCCGAAAAAAACTTTTGTAATAATGAATATTTATTGAATAATATCAGTTAACCCTATATTTAATATTTTATTTATTGTCATAGGAAAATATAGTTGGCGTGAATGAAATCTACAAGAAACTTGGTGCAATGGTGTACGAACAGGGCTTAACAGTGGACTCCATTGAATCTTCGGTAGAACAAACCAGCGTATTCGTATCTCAAGGTGCAGACAACTTGCGTAAAGCGAGTTCATATAAGGTATATTCAGTTTAGTTTCCACTGCAATATAACTTCTAATTGTTAATTCTTTTTACAGAATAAGATACGTAAGAAGAAAATTATTTTGTTTGGCGTCTTAAGTGCTGTATTATTAGTTGTAATACTCATTCTTGTGTTTGAGTTCAGAAATTAAATTTGTAATATTTATTTTTCAACATTCTTAACATTTAACATTTAAGATGAAAAAATTTCTAAATGTTACGAAAGAGTTTTGAAAGCACTTCTCTGTTCAGGTGATATTTAAAGCAAGTACTATACATTTACTAATAAATTGAAAGACGATAAGAATATTAATTTAAAATTGATAAAAATTTAAAACGTCCCAGCTGTGCGTAATTCGATTAAAAAAAAACTTTTTTAAAAATTAAATATTATTTTATATATAATTTAGCTTCAATTTGCTAAGACCAAAAATTTATACTATGCATATATATTATATATTGTGGCGGTAGTTATAATTATCAAAATATATAATTTAAATTTTTTTCTTATATTTATCTCAATATTCCAGTATATATTAACCATTTAGTGAAATTTATTATTTATATATAATTTAAATTGTTTATAATACAAATTATTATTAATTATATACAAAATTAACAATATTGTGATTTGTTTGTTTTTTCTGCATAATTAGCTTTTGTATCTATTTTAATCTGTTTAATTTGCTTAATGTAAAATCTTGGTGTCATTTTCGGAATTAGAAATTTAACTTAAAGTTGAAAAATTGTAGTGTATTGGCTAGAAATGCAGAATTATCAATATTTAAAAAAGTGAATAAAATAAAACTACTTTTAAAACTACGAAACAGAGTAATATTTGTCTTTTAATGAAGTAATCACTTTTTGAGGAATAACAGACAATTACATGGCGGATGAGACAGCAAATTAAGTTCATTTAGGAATACATACGAAACAATTCTATAATCTGGACATATCGGTATTGTCATATCGATATGCTTATGTACGTAAATTGTCCATACGACATCCGATTCGTCAAGTAATGATGCATCGACCTCATAACCGCAAAAAGATCTGTTGTTGTGCTTGTTAGGAGAGGAAAGTAGCTTTTGTTTATTTGAAAACACCAGCTGGATCTTTTAGAAACAAAAATGTTGGGTAGCATTCTCCGGTTACTATGTGACTATTTTGGGGATATCAATTATGTATCTTCTATTTTAAAGAACTATACCTGTGATCTTCCCGGTTAGCAGCACAGTTATTGTATTTGTAACCTGCCAGAATCTATACTGCATGAGATATGAAAGGTAAGCAGCACAATTATTGTTGCAGCTAGAACCAGATCTATACTAGAGAGCATATTGAAGGAATTATAAAATACGTATATTATGGGTTAGGATTTGATAGTCGGCAAGTGTTTCTCATTTGGGTTGTTCGAATTAAGAAAGGAAAGACGGGTGGGTGAGATTAATTTGAAACTTAAGGCAGGCTTAAGGCAGAGTCACCTTGCCACGATGTGTGCATTGAGATATGAGAGCAGGTGGGTAACATCGATGTGAGTACAGCTGCAGTTAAAATTGACGTTGAAAATTGACGTATTTAGCCGTTAAGCACATGGCTATACCCTGACTTCAATTGGGCTAGGACTTATTGCACGAGGAATGCGTCTTTCTTCCCTGGAGGTATTAGTTGCAGACCTGTTGAGAAGTTTGTTACTATACAACTGTGATTTGAAAGAAACTGTGTCTAAGGGAACGACTGTTATTTCACGTTTAGTTCAACATAGTTCGCTTTATATAGTGATGTTTCATTGGTTTTTATCTGCTGTTTTAATTGTGTGTGGATTGCAGCCATGTTACTTACGCCAAGTTTCATCAACGTTTATGCATCTGTAAAATGTGCTTAAGTTATTTTAACAGATTCTTGTGGCATGGTCTGAAAACTAATCATCCAAGCAGCGGATAGCTCACTTTTGCCTACATTTTCATTTCATTACATTTTACTTTTTTCAAAGACTGCCAAACGTGATATCACATCCTCAGCAAACTTTATTGTTTTTATTTAATGTGATTGTTCGTTGTTGTCATCAATGGCGGCAGTTGCGGTAGTTTTTAGCGGTCATTATCAATTCACGTTTAAAATAATCAGTCTAGTTCCTTATTGTTGCATATCTTAGCGCAAACTGTTTGGAATCTTCATCTTATTTCAATTGAATAACAAAGGAGCGTTATATGATAAAGATTTAACAAAAATTTATTACAAGTAAACAAGTGTTAATTCTCATTTTCAGAAATACTAAAAGTCGGCCGATTAAAAAAAGTTATTAAAAATTATTTTAACAGAATAACGATTGTTGCTTTTTGGAAAGAAAATATAATTTTAGGATGTGGATGGGTAGTAATTGAGTGAAGTGGAGAGGTAGTTGGGATGTAGGGATTGAGGATGGTTGGGATTTAAATTGAAATCAACCACGATCAAGGTAGAGAAACCTGCCACTTCAATGCAAGTAGGAAAACAGATAAGCAACGTCATGGGGGTCGATATATCTAACATATGTTATAAGGAAAACCATCGGATGCATCGTTGAGGGAGGGCACTGCTGAACATGGCGCCATTGGGATGTTTATATGTGTGGTACGCAAGGAGGTATAGCTTTGAAATCAGTTGATTGTATTCTTTTACAAGAAACATTTTCGATTCCGCATACTGTGACAGCCTAGTTTCATTTCGTAGACGTAAAAGATTGGTCTCTCTAGTATCTTCTCACATAATTAAAAATATTTATATACATATTTAGAGGGTTTTCAACAGTTCATAAACTATTTGTTATTTTAAGTATTAATAAGTATCATTTAATAAGTATTAAATTACTTATATTGATTGAAAAGGGTATATTACGGCAGTGCATTTGTACTGAAATGTTGTACTAATATCTTCTCTGAAACGAGTACAGCAACAAATGTTTTGAAAATAGAGCATTTTGCTGCTATTAATTCAATTGCATGGTTTATCAATGATTAGTGCTGCATCATTACTATGTGGATGTGAAGTTCATTTGGCGAATGCAAGCACATTTGGGTTCGTTAAAAACTTAACTTCATTAACAATTTCGTTAATATGCACTTCAACAGCTTATGAGTAAAGCAGAGATTTAACCTCAACCCTTTTGCTGACTGGAATACGAGCACTTGAGATCTTGCATTTTTTATGCATTTTTATTAACGATGTGATGACAAGCAAATTCGGAATCTCAGCGCGTGTGTGGTGCAGTACAGGTAAGATGCACTTCCTCCACACAATGATGCTACAAATACCACAAAGCACTGAAACTCACATATGAATATGTGTTATAAGCGATATATATGGATCACTTGATGCTTGAAGCTAAGGTGTGTCAAGTGTTTCTTCTCTGCTCGCTCACTCGCATGACTTCATGATATCATGAAGTCCACAGATTGTTGCACCTACACGTAAGTTTCAGATACACACAGCGCTAAGTAATGACATGAATATGAGATTAGAGCCAAAGCAACTTATTTAACTGAAAATTTAAGCCAAATCACGTTTCCTTCAGCAAGATCACTTATCGAAGGGAGTACGAGTAAATCCACAACAAATAAGGTAACACTCGTCGCAGCTCGTTGAATAAAAATATACGAAAGTAATTGAAATCTTTTCTGCCAATTCATTGACATTGATAGCATCCTAAACGAGGCAAATGTGTTGATGAATTGATTGCAGCCCATTTCGAAGCCACATAAATGCAGCTCATCACACGCGTGTTGTAAACATTTCGCGCTCATTTGGTGTCATTTGGATCTCGAGTTACACTTGTTGGATGAAGTGGATTTTTTTCGTTTGGTTTCCATTTGTCGAATTCACTGTACGTATATTTCCTCTTGGGGTTTTATCGTTTTATCGTTTTATCACTTTTTTCTTTCTTAACGAGTTATTTTGGAAATTGATTCGTAGGCAGTTTGTGTAAGATTTTGTTTAGTCATCGGTGCTTTCTGCTTGTGACGTCGTAGATTATGTACTTTGCAATTCATTTACGCTGACAAATCTGTAACTTATCAGAAAGTTGAAGTATTTTCTTAAATATCATATTTTGACATATCTTTTTTTACTCGAGCACGGAACAAAGATGCTAATTACTTTTAATTGTTTTGATTAAGAGTGTGATGGGTAAGGATGTATGCATCATCATCATTAATCATCGATCTATCGATCGCCTACTTAGATAAAACGCAGTGGGACTTTCGTAACTGTTATTAGAAGCATTTACGGATTGATTTTAAGGATTAATAATGATGAGAGGTAAACGAAACATGATTTAAAGTTTTAAGTAATCACAACTAAAAATTTTTGTATATACAGTATAGAATTTTTTTGTAGTATAATTGATATCAAACTTTATCATAGATTTAGTATTCTAGAAGCGGTGATGTAATACGGTTACGCTAACAGGACTTGCACTGCTGTTCGGCTAAGAAAATAACTTGTTTAACAGAACATAATTTATATGAAAATTGAACTTTCAACATTGGACGGTTAGGTGAATATAGAGTAATAAATACAAAAAATTTGTCTTCTTCTTCTTATTTGGCACTACAGTCCAGTATGAACCTTGGCCTTCCTACAAAAAAGTTGTCATGAGACACAAATTGGCAGTTTGGATATATGTCCGAAATAGAGCGGTTTCAATATGTAATGTGACTATTCGCTGTGCTCCAGAACAGTTCTTGCAGAAAGCAGAAAGGTAAGATCCTGAAAGGAATATTGCAACAGATTGTAGTTCAAAAATTCACCTTATCGCATGATAATGCGATATGTTTATATGGGATGTAAAAAATTTCTCATAGTGGGGATGGTTCTACTGATTTAAAAGAAGTAATTTACATTAAGTTTTTTAAGTTTTTAGTAGGGTAGATATCGAAACATTGAATTTTGGTATTACTTGATATTATTTCCGTGTTTAACAAAACACTTTTATGGAAGTGGTTTTGCATAAGTATTCTAAACCTTTTATATGTTCTTAGCAGATGTTTTCTATTTTCCGAAAGCAACACACGATTGCTCTCTGAAGTACACATGTTATAAAAATATTTTATTATGTTAGATTAGTTCTTACACCTTTGAAAAAATGTGATTCTTCCAATTAAGTAGAAGGGAACCAAACTGACATGTTGATAAACATCTATGACCCTTTTTTAAAGAATGACAGCTTCATCAAATCAGTTATGATCGCAAAGATTTCAAATCTTTTTTAATTCAATGATAGGTAGTCACATGAGGTATATAAAATCCTTCTCATCTACAGAGTCACAATGCTGACACAATTCGTTAGATGGACCAGCAAGTCTTACGGCTTTCTAATACGTAGTGACATTACAGCGCTAATACTTTAGTACTGAATTGGTTGAGTCGACGTTAGTTGTATCAGTTAAATGGCACAAATTTCTTTGTAAGATATTGTGACCTGGTCACAAGACCAAGTAAGTCTCGTGATCTGGTAAGAATTTTCATCTACTCAGGCTAATATTGTATTTTATTAGTATAAATAGAGAAATAATTGAACTTTTAGCAAAACTTGTCCATGAAACTTTTGTAGTTTAAGGAGAAAAATACAATCATATAGTTTTATTGAATACATAGTACGGATTTTCCATAATACTTTTGTAGTTTAAAGAGATAAATATGATTTTATTGCTTTATTTGATTGAACAAATAAAATCTGTTTATTTAGTATATAGTAAGTACCTTATTTTTTTATAAGTTTTAATTTTTATTCATCATATATAAAGCTAAAGTTCAATTTAAAAAAAATTTATATTAAACTCTTGCTTCA